AAAAAATCCTTATTATCAAAATCAAATTTTGAAAATAAATGCAATACATTTATGTAGATATGGATATGGATATATGGTAGATATGGATTAGAAAATATTTATAATTCTGATCAGAGCGGATTTCAGTTAGAATTTCATTCCGGTCGTACGTTATCACATAAAGGCACAAAAAAGATAGAATCTGTAGTACAGTCCATATCAGCAACTACGCATAGTTATACTATACAGCCGACAATTTCAGCGGATGGTAGATTATTGTCTCCGCTTTTCATTGTTTTAAAGGAAGTAACAGGAACATTTGGTCCTAGAGTACAGGAAACTATGTTCAAAGCGCCTAATATTTTTGTTACGGCTTCTACATCAGGAAAATTAACGTCAAATCATGTAAAAACCTGGTTGAAAGAAGTATTTTTTCCGAATGTTGGGCCACAATCTGTATTATTATTAGATTCTTGGAGTGGGCATTGTCCCAACATAATAGCGGAAACTAGAACAGATTATGCAACAGATATTGTTTTTCTAACAATTCCAGCCGGTACAACAGGACAAATACAGCCATTAGATGTATACGGCTTCCGATTATGGAAAAATTTTATTAGACATTTTTCTGATACTGTTTTATTGTTAAATCTTGCAATTGAACTTCATACTAGAAATAATATTTTGAAATTACAATCATTAACGCACCATCAATTCTCGTCGCCTAGGTTTCAAAGTTTATTTCGATATGCATGGTTTAAAAGTGGATATGTAGAGATTAGACCAACAGAGTTTCAAACACCGGTTGAATTTTGTTTCCAAAGGGATTCGAAAGTAAATTGCGATATTTGTGGCGAAACTGCCATAATTACTTGTTCTTGGTGTAAAAAATCGCTTTGTATTACACATTTTTTCCATGATCATCATCTTTGTAACGAATATGTGCAATAAATATAATACATTATCCGTTCATATGCAAATTCTGTACTGTTGCTTTAAAATATATTGTTAAATAAATGTTATTGTTAAATATTGTTCTACTACAATTTATTATTCCTTTCTACTTTGTTTCCTTATATTACTATTCCATAATTTATCCGGAGTTCTCTGTTATCTTTAGCAATTAGTAATTATATATTGTATATTCACATTACACGCTTTCTCTCTCTTGCAAAAGTAATAGAATATGTGTTTCTTTTATTTCATGCATTACAATTTTATTTTAACCTGCCTTGATCTTGTATCAATTTACTTTGCAGTAAACATATTTAATATACATTGAAAACTTCTGTACAAATTGCGACGCCGCGCACATTTGCTACTGTTGTTATATATGCTTACTGTTGTTTATCTCTGCTTACGTCTTTATTTCGTATATTACATATCATATGATTAGAATTAATTCGTTTTTATCTTGTAATATGAGAAAATATGCGCAAGTAGTTATAAAACATAGCGCAAGTGAAGAGAAGTAATCCAACGCAACGTACAGTACTTACCTACTCGCACAACGCGGTGCCTATAACGCGAAGTTATCAGTCATGTAGTTTTGCCAAGAATTGAATCGAGGAACCATACTATTATTATATATCGATGGATTTGGCATGAAATGCTTTTTAATTTTTGTCCTTACAAAAACTTAAAAATTTGCAAAGGTGACGAAGGGGAGAGGGAGGGGGGGGGTGAAATATTGCATTTTAAAAAATTTGAATAGACCGATGGAAAGGGCATAAGATACTGTAAAACTTTTGTCTGAAATATTTTTTCATATACCTCATATTTTAGGAAATATTAAATAAAATTGAAAAATCCGTTTTTTTCATGGGGTGGTTTCAACCCCTAAACCTCGAGATAAGCACATAAAAAAAAATACGTGTCTAATGTTTTTTGATGCTCTACAACATATCCAATGCTCATCAAATTCGGTGAGGGACGCCCCCGACCGTTTCCTTGTGAGTCAAACAATCGCAAAACTGTCTGAGAAGTTTTTTTAGTACGAAATCTTATCTTTCTAACGCCATCTAGCGTAAACCGATCGCACTTATACAACGCGAGATACACATTACTAAAGCCATCTATTGGAAAAATAATGGATTTCTTTTTACTACACCTTATACATATAAATGATATAACTGAAGTCTGTCCAGAAGAGTGCAATATAAAAATGTTTGCAGACGACATATACGACGCTTATATACGTAAGTGGAGAAAGTAGCGAGGATATAGAAATAAAAATGAACACAGTTTTTTATACAATAGTACATTGGATGAATATAAATAAGCTAAAAATTAATGCTGATAAAACGAAATATTATAATATATGATAGTTAGAAGTATTCGAAAAGAATTGAGATATAATACTAATTTGAAATGTCTGGATGGAATTGAAATAGAACGTGTAGAAGCTATGAAATACCTAGGTATAATTATAGACGATAGACTTCGATTTCAAGATCACTGCGATTATATATTAAAGAAAATAGGTAAGAAAACGAGTTTTTTAAACAGAGTAGGTAATTATGTATCGATGTATACTAGATGTATTATAGTTCCGCATTTTGAGTATTGCGCGACGCTGTTAATAGGCATGGGCGAGACGCAGATAACCCAACTACAGAAGGTACAAAACAGAGCTATGATGGTAATACTTCAGTGTGATAGATATGCCAAAGTGAAAGACATGCTGGAAGCGTATATGTTGCAATATATGTCAGTAAGACAAAGGTTATAACGATATAATATATGTATATTTATTTTTAAGATATTAAACGATATGCTGCCGGCTCAATTAAGGAATAGGATACAAATAGTAGGAGATGAATGCACAAGAGAAACGAGACAAGCGGGTAATATTGAACTCCAGTTTAGAAAAACAAAGAGTGCACAGAAAAGTCTATTTTATGAGGGAGTGAAAATGTATAATGCGCTGCCAGCGGAAATAAAAAATTGTGGTAGGCTTGATTTGTTTAAAATAAAGCTGTGTGTGAAGACACATATTTACAATACTGTAAATTATGTATATTAAAATGTCTATGTAAATAGCTGAGAAAGCTAAATAAAAGATCATCTCTCTCTCTCTCTCTCTCTTTCTTTCTCTCTCTCTCTTTCTCTCCCTCTCTCTCTCTCTCTCTCTCTCTCTCTCTCTCTCTCTCTCTCTCTCTCTCTCGCACGCGCT